ATCTGTATCAAGCCCCGACAAATAAATAATATTAAAATATAACATGGAAAAGATATACAGATATCTGTATCAGGCCCCAACACATAGATATAACAAGGACAAAACTTAAACATAATTCAATCAGAGCTCATATAAAATGTTAATTTTCACTCTTTTTCTTTTTTTATTTGATTATAAATAAATAACCATATTACACATATTTTAGTTCACTTGCACAAAGCGTATTAGTTGTCTTTGTTTAATTTATTAGCGATTTTCTTTCTCTTCCCAAACCCCCCTTTTTCCCCCGTAACATCCCTCTTTGTTTTTTCCCATTACAGAATATTTAAAACAACAATATTCTGATGTCTGACAAACGTATAATTTACAAGAATGAAATGCCTGAAATTATACCAATAAAAATGTTACAAACGAACATTGCAAGACATTATCTTTCTTCTCGTATTATCATGTTTTATAATGAGTGGTTCCAGGATATCTTTGAACGGTTGATGCTTTGTGTTGCACGTGCTAACATCCGATTAACTCAGTAATTAGTTATACGGACCTTGAGTTTGAGAGTTTGACTCCCGTGTGTATATGTATATACTGTGACGGTGTTGCCATCAGCCACGAATCTTTCATCTGGCACCGCTGTTTAACGAATTTACAAGCAGAAGTTGGCGGTGACTTGCTGACATTATATAGAATAACTGTCGTCTGGTATACACGTGCGCATGACGGACATTATGTCATAACTGACGTCACAGTCTATTATCACTGACGTTAAACCGAACGCAAGAATCACATCAGCTCCTCTGCATGTTTTATTATAGATAGGCTCTTAAACCTCTATTTGGCTGCCCGTTAACTGAAGAGTTATTATACTGTATACTGTATACATGTACAAATTTATATAATATACTTTTGTTTAAAACACAACAAAGTTCTTAACCTTGTGCCTGTTGGTGGCAACTAAACCTACCCACGCGACCATCAGCCTGTGTCTGATATTCAGTCTCTTCATATTTTGGACATTTCATAAAATGTTGACCGGTTAAGTCCAGATTGAAGAATAATCAAGTACATTAATGATATTTAGAGTAGTAAGGGTTTAATTTAAATAAAAATGTTTGAAGCGAGTGGCGTATATGTGCGAAATCATTGCAAATGATCAGTTGAGTATTTTGTTGGAAAACGTTTTATTCTGTTTCCTTAAATAAATCACGTGAAACATACTTTTTGCTAAAACTCTCTCAAGACATAAATACCGAAAGAACCATAAGAGGAAAATCAACGTGCCTGTACAGTTTCTGGAGAGAAAAAAAAACAACATTTTATATCGCATCATAACAATCGGAACCCCTCGGCTATTATTCATATTAGTCCTTATCCGAAGACTGACGGAAAGGACCGAAAAGTTGCGATTGGCATCTTTAATGGCATTGAACAACAACAAAAACAATAACAAGTTTTTTATGAGTGAAACGATCCCAACAGTGTGCATGAGCCGCTTTAAAAAGAGATTACATTTTTTTTTCATTTTAAGTTTAAAAAAGGACTGAGCATTATATATGCGCATTCCATTGTTAAAAATTATGTATACTCAGCTTCAATCAACCAATTGCAAATGACTTATTAATAACGCAGAAATTACGTGTAATTAGCTACTAAAGTATCATTAATAATATCAAATTTGCATATGGAAATTCCCTGTTGTATTATTTATAACAATAAACTACTGGGAGATGTTTCTTTTTCCCGGCTATTAAAATTGGGATATTATTATGAAAGTTTGTTTGTTTGTTTGTGTTTGTTCTTATTCGTTCGTTCGTGTTTTGTTTGTTTGTTCGTTTAATCGTGTTTGTTTGTTTGTTCGTTCGTTTATTCGTTCGTTTATTCGTTCGTTCGTTCGTCTATTTGGTCGTTCATGATAATCCGTTCGTTCGTTCACAAGTGATAACAGGAAAACAAATGAAAGTTTTTTTTGTTCGTTCGTTCGTCACAATGACACTGCCAAGACCAAATGACGACTTTCTAGCTTTGCTGATTAAGTCAGACGTCTCATTTGCATTATTTCAGACACAAACAGGGCCTGACTAGAACGTTAGATAGTTGGATAGCTTCCTAACATAAATGTCCCTAATGGGATTCGAACATTTACAGCGCAACGGGGGAACTGATTTGGAGTCGGCAACCTTAACCAATCGACTCGAAGGCCCCTATAATGAAATTATAATGAGGAAAGATAATTTGTAAGGACTAACTATTTTTTAATTCAAGGGTGCGTGTTTTTTCCTTATTTTTCCGTAAATTGTCAACAAAAAATAACAATGTAAAGAATTAAAGTTATACTTGTCACGAAAATTAATCAAATTAATGTAATATAAATTCATTAAGAAAACTGCATTTGCGGAAATACGGAATTGCATAACATAAAACCTCCATGCTAATCACGTGATATTGGAAGTTGGCGTTGAAAACGGCGCCAAAATAGACCCCCTAGACAGAAAATATTCTGAATAATAGATAGTGGTGATCATTATACACGCATTTGAAGGTCATAATTAAGTAAGAGGTGCTCGAATTTTTTCCCCAACTGCTGCCCTCTCTTTCCTTAATTAACTAAATTACGAATTGTCACAGTATTATTCCGAAGTATCTCTTTTTTACACATATCTTCAATGCTATAATATAAGAAAACGCTGATTTTTTCAGCCAAAATCATACATATGTTTTGTTTCATATACGGTTTAAATATATTAATGTTATTATGTCTAATAACGCTACTGCATTCGAATTGGGCTCAAATATAATGGTTGAAAGCAAATATTTTGCACCCACGGACGCTAAGGGTCAGATCCTGCCTCCAACAAGATATGCCCCTGTAAACACTCTATCAAAAATATTTTTATTTTTTAACATGAATGGGACACCTGTGACAACGATATAAAAACTGGTTTTCAAACAATTTTTACATATATGAAAAAAATACCGTATACCATCAAGACTTATAGTCTCGATAAAGTACTTTTTTGAGACTTGATGGTAAACGGTATTTCCCAGATTTATCGTTGTAACAGATATCCCATTCGTGTTCCCAAAGCGTCTGTGTTTGCACCCACCCTCCATGTCCCTGGTATTACTAGTCAGGGGTCTCTGGTTTGATCATCGGGCAAGGCAAAATTTCTCCGTCGGACATTGAGTCTGATGGTCACATGTCTGTTGACGTCACCACTGATTCGGTCGGTCACTTGCTGAGAAATTGGTCATTATTTGTGGTTCATCAAGTGGAGTCCGGTTAGATAGACCGAACGCCGAAATATAACCCGAAATATGTTAAAATCCGCGTTTAATGTGGATTTTTTTTATTTGTTTATGTTTTTGTTGTTGTGCTGCTGCTGCTGCTGCTGGCTTGTTGCTGCTGTTGTTGTTGTTGTTGTTGTTGTTTTGATGTTGTTGTTCTTGACTTGTTGTTGTTGTTGTTTTATGTAGCGATAAGTTACCAGTAAAGAATTTACAATGAATAAATAACCCCATCCCAACATACTTTTACTCGTGATATTTATAATTACGAAAAATAACAACATCAATTACGCACGTTATATTATAATGAATATGTCATTAATTATTCAAAATATTTTCAGCGCACGTGCTAAGTTGAGGAAATTCCAGAATAATAACAGAGAGAATAAAAATTTACGAAGTGTTGAGTCGGGAAGTTAAAGAGTTGTGGGGAATATAGTAGACAGAAAACATCATTCCAAGTGTAGATATATGTCGATAATGCTTTATTTAATTTGGTCTTGCTTGAACATTACATTGGGTTCTAGGGGAAACCTTATGGTACTTTGGTAAAATGGATACTTTAATGCGGCGACATTCTGTAATAGACTTCGAGTAATGGACGAAAATAGGAAATTCGTTGACAAAATGAAAGCTTACATACTTAACAATTTTTTGTAATGTAGCACTAAGTTTTTGTTTAAGATCATCAGGGGTCTAGAAGCGCTCTTTTTCCTGTTGATTTTACAGTCGTCAATAGTCATTTCCGAAATGAAATTAATTGTTTGTAGGGAATATGTCATATGTTTATTTTATTTATCTTAAAAAAAATCCCACATTTTTGAAGAGTATTTTACCAGTTTAACTTGTCAGAAAATATTATATAACATGAGCAATGCTGTTTTTTTTAATTTTGTTCTTATTGAAATTATTCTAAAACAACTTTCTGGTGGACACAATAATGCTCGAACTTTTTTACAACAGGCATGAGTTGTTTGGTTTTGTTTGTTTGGTTTAAACATATTTATTTTTTCCCAAATTACAATGCTACACAACACATAGAAATTTTAATAATATACAACATCATGATAAAGCGGATTGTTTTGTTTCTTCTCGTTTTTTTTTTTTTTGTTTTGTTTGTTGTTTTTTGTTGTTTTTTTGTTTGTTTGTTGTTTTTTTTTTGGGGGGGGGGGGATTGGGGGCGGGTTGAGGGGTAGCTGGTGTTTATATTTCCATTAAAGTTTGTTGTTGCTTTTGATTTTTGTTGTTAATGTTGTTTTTTGCTCTTTTTTTTTGGGGGGGGGTGAGGTAGGGTAGGGGTAGGTGTATTTGATTTTTGTTTGTTTGTTTTAGGTTTTGTCTTTCTTTCATTCTTTCTTTCTTTATTTTCTTTCTTTCTTTTTGGTTTTGTTTTTGTTATATTACGTTATATCGTGACTGCGACGTGTTGTTAATATGATAGAATAAAGAAACATCATAAAGATCCTAAAAGGATTTTGCTTTAAAAATAAAGAAACACAAAATCAGTTTAAAATATCGGTGCAAAAAACAAACATATACTGGGTTAATCGAAAAGTCGAAATGAATGCCCGAAACGATAAGAGAGATAGATAGATATACGAGATATAAGATTGCAAACGAGGTTATTTTCGAATTTTATTCATATATGTCTATCATTGTCGGTGTTACCAGTTTGCTTACTTGTTACATTTACACTCTTGTATATTTCTTTACAGGACAACTGCGAGAGGCTATCCGTGAGTGCAAACTACGATCATGCGACAATAACGTATACAAGAAAATGTTGAAGCTAGAAAAGGAACTTGACAAGGCAGCAAACGCAGCTCTACCTTACGTGGAGAGTGCAGATGCCGCATACTATGAAAGGTATATAGAACATTTTTAGATGGGCTCTTCCATTATACCGAAATAGGGAAATTTTATAATGGTATAGATGTAAAAGTGTATTGCAAACTACCGCCTTTACCCGGGGTACCCTCCTATCGCTGGTTTAATGGTTTGAGCTATATTTATTATTTGAGAAAAGAAAAAAATACATAAACTATAACATTGAAAGACGATCTTTACAGTAACAACCGTACTCGCGTGTTTACTACCATGGTGAACGGACCCTTTTGTTCTGTGTTTCGAATGCCAAAAGCGTACTGCACAAACCGTTGGCACATACTTTACGTGTAGTATACTTTAAAAGTAACTATATGATAGCAAAATATATTAGACATGAGGAGAAATGACCATTTATCTTCCTTTTTCCGTGACATTACCGTACAGAAGAAACTTCTTTAGACTGACGACTAAAGTGCTATACTAGTTAGTATTTTGCGAGTACAGACTGTAGCGGAAATATATGATCCTTACTTTAAAACCCACAAAAACTTATTGAAATGTTACTCTAATTCAAGAATTGTGCTCTCAGATGACAGTTCGTTTATAATGAAATAAATTATTCAAAATTTTTGTTATGATAAATTAACAAGATGTTTTACAAACACATTTTGAGAAGAATTGTGTTAAATATTTTGCGAGTATACTTTATCATTTTAACATGTTTTGAATATTTTAGCAGGAGTGCTTTCAGTTCTGTTTAATGGCAGAACAAAACATGCCAACAAAACTTATTGAATATTTATACGCATTTTCTCAAGAGCTTTAATAAAACCTAGTCGTTTTTGAATTTTGATTAATTTAATTTTTCTGTATCTTCTCTATTTATTTATTTATTTATTCATTTTATTTCTCCTTTGCTATGATTGATAAGCAGCTGCAGTAAGTTTGTTTAAAATTACATTGTACACGAAATGTGTAGAAATGTGTGGAAATCGCGATTTGCTGGCATCTTTTGATACTGTATTAAGGGGACAGGGTACATATATATGCGAACTATGGCACCGGTCAAATTTATTAATAACACAGACATGGTGAAGGTACTGAAAACGTTTTATATAACTCTGTTATTGTGTTTCCTTTTGTTTGTGTGTAGGAAATAATCAGTCGTTTTGGGTACTTCCCCAAAACTAAGCATTTTTAGTAGCTTTTTATGCATTTGTGACTCTCCAAATAGAGGTTAAAACGTTCAAAAGTCAAACATTGACATATCGCGCCAAGCAAGTAAGAAACTTGAAAATATATGAAAAATCAAATGTATGACTGAAAGTTTATTGGACATTTTTAATTTTTTTTAAAAAAATCCATTGATTGCAGTCAGTCTTTATTTTTAGGAGCAATGCATGCAAACTATTTTTCCCTCCAATGCATGTCATATATCCTTGAATAATGATGGACAACTGGTTATCTGCCTGTGTAACAGATTTTGAAATATTTGGAATTATGTTTTTGGCCATATTGAACATCAATATTGCTCATTTTAGGTTCCCTGCTCCCTTAAACGTCCGGACATATAAGACCTTTCGTGTTTATCGGAACTGAGAATTCAATCTAACTTTTTCGGCCCTTTCCGCTCGTCTTCGGATAAGGGTTATTATGAATAATAGCCGAGGGTATTCCGACTGCTGACAATTGATCCGTCTTATTATGTCATTTAACTCTATCTAATGCTGCTTGTAATTTTCGCGCATTTTTTTTCAGGATCATTTCAGATTCTTTGCCACGCTTTTAATTCGTCTAAATATTTCAGTTAACTCTGTCAAATTTTGCTTGGAATTTTTTGCGCCATATTTCTTTTTCTCTCGGAATATTTCAGGTTCTTGGCCACCATTGACAAACCATACATCATGCCCTATGAGTCAGCCATGTTTGGTGAAATCAGGCCACAGACTGGTTACAATTCACATTACAACGAAGAGAAAGGAGATGCGTGTTATGCGCGCATGCTCGGTACTTACGAGGAAAATGGGAGGCAAGTACCATATATTTACATTCATAATTGTTTAAATAATTTTCTGGACTTTTATGATTGGCGTACATATTTTGTATACTGTGCTGTTTATACACTGTTAAGATTATTTTTTATCATAACTAAATTGTTGGGGCTATTTCAATTTAGTTTATGTCATGTAAAAGGGGCAATTCAAGTGATATTTATGTCACGTAAATGAGGCAATTCAAGTTAAATTTATGTCATGTTAAGCATGCTGATATACGTACATGTTTGGGAATAAAAATCATATACACCTTGGCAACACGTCCAGACACTTTTGATTCTCCTGCCTTGATAATTTATCTGGTTTCAATAAAAGTCAAATATCCATTTTAGACGAGCAATCCGCATATTGTCTTGAAGAACATTGTTATTTATTTTCAGAACGTTGCCACGTTGTAATATCACACGTGACTGTCTCGACTACATGACAACCGAGGCGACGTCAGAGTACTTTATCACACATCAGTTATTATACTTTATAATGGTGGAACATGTAAGTATGACAAATCCTTACTATCAAAATTACAAGACAAACACAAAACACAAGAAGAAAAAGTGTCAATTTTGCGGGAAAAAAATAAGAACATGAGAACGTCGACCTTCAACTAGAATAAGTAAGAAGGTATACTTACCAACTTCGTGATGCCTCCAGTTGGTGTATATATTTTTAGATATTTGTAAAGTTTGCTTGATTAGTGATAACTTTTATAATGTTATAATGGTTTTACCCAGTGAAAGTTGAGTCGAACCCCGCGTCACTCTGGAATCATCTTTATTGTCTGAGTAGCATTTCTAAATGTTCCTTATTTCGATCTTGTATCAGAAAACAGAGTAAAATAAAAGTATACTACATGTATTATTTAGATATATTCTGTAATGTCCTGATTCTGAAATTGTTGAGTAGCTTAAAATATAATGCAGGTACATATCGTCGCTTGTAAAACCCGTATCAGAGTCCGTAGTGTCTAGATTCAAATATTTGGCTGATGTGCGTTTAAATACCTGCACAATTATACCTGCTTTTGTTTCAAGCAATTTGAATTTCAATCAGTAAATACTACGGTGCATGTTAGGGCCATATATTCGTACAATGTTACAACGACAAAACGATACTACGATACTGAGAAGTTGAAAACACGATACCACGATTTTAAAAACGCGAAACTACCATGGTGAAAACGCGAAACTACGTTGGTGAAAACGCGAAACTACGATGGTGAAAACGCGAAACGATGGTGAAAATGCGAAACACGTATGGTGAAAACACGAAACAACGATGGTGAAAACACGAAACTACGATGGTGAAAGCGCAAAACTACGATGGTGAAAATACGAAACTACGATAGTGAAAAAGCGAAACTACGATGACGAAAACGCGAAACTACGATGGTGAAAACGCGAAACTTCGATGGTAAAAACGCGAAACACCGATGGTGAAAACACGAAACTAAGATAGTGAAAACGCGAAACTAAGATGGTGAAAACGCGAAACTCCGATGGTGAAAATGCGAAACTACGATGGTGAAAACGCGAAACTACGATGGTGAAAACACGAAACTACGATGGTGAAAACGCGAAATAAGGAAACTTAGGTGTTGAAAACTTGATATAATATCGTGTTTTCAACATCGTTGTTTCGACTTTTCATTATCCTTGTTTCGAGTGTGTGTCATCATTGTTTCGTATTTTCACTATCGCTGTTTTGTGTATTTACCATCGTTATTTCGTGTATTCACCATCGTGGTATCGTGTTTTTACTATCCTGGTATCGTGTTTCCATCATCGTAGTATCGTGTTTTCATCATCGTGGTATTGTGTTTTCATCATCGTGGTATTGTGTTTTCACCACTTTTGTATTCCATTTTTCAACTAATTGCATATGTTTCGTCTGCATAATTACTTTGTCAGTTTAATTTTTGAACGAAGTTTAGAATTTTCCGTACAAGCCCGTGTCAGAAAAAAATATGTTTGTACCAATACTTCCTTGTAATGCGGGAAAAACAAATTACGAAGAATCAATATCACCGTATGCAAATACTCATTAATATTCCGTTCTCCTAGTATAATTAAAACAATTCTAATTAAATGGTTAAAACTAAAAAATGGCTCCAATTAAAGAAAAAATAACAGTTACAATAGTATTCAAGTTTGTACTGCAATTAAAGGAGTTAGCTTGTTACATTTTTAAGGAATACCGTTTGGGCCATCATCGTTTAATTTAATCATCTGTCGCTGTATTCGATGGTGCGGTGTTTTAAAAATAGATTTCATGATACTACGATTATTGACAGACTATAATACAAAAGTACAATAGGAATACTTGTAATGGTGGCATGGCTTAGTGGCTAACGCGTCGGACTTGTAATCTAAAGAATGCTGGCAGCGTGGGTTCAGACCCCGTCAAAGGCAACACGTTGTTTCCATGAGCAAAAACTTTACTCACATTGCTGGTTGGTTTGAAAGTGTTTCAATAAGTTTCTAGCTTCCAACACGTCAACCGAATTAAAATTAAATCGTATAAACTATAATAATGATAAAGGGGCATCCATTCCCGAGTGGTTAAGGCTTTTCAAACTGTTTACCCCTCATGGCTGTGGGCTTGAATCACGCCAGCGACATTGGATTCTTTCATGTGAGGAAGCTGTTCAGCTAGCGTATGGAACGTCGTTTGTTCTACTCAGGTGCCCGTCCGTCACTGAAATATCTCAGGAAAACCTTCCTTCACCAGTAAAGTTGGAAAGCCGCAAAATGACCTCTGCTGTGTTGCAACCAAAACAACAATAATGATAGTAATAATAATGCCTAGTTGTTTAATGTGAATTACTCATTCTTAATAGGTTGGGTGTAAGGACAAATTTGACGAGTTTACAGGGGGACATAAGCTGCGTGGAATACAACACAACTTTTGTTCAAAGATCTACGAGGAATCGAAAAAACTTTCCCATACCGGAGATGTCGGACAATTTAGGAGAGATCTTTTCTTAGAACAAAGTGAGTAAATCTAAATTAAATGAGTATAAGTTTTGATGTTACCTGGACATCTTAACACGCAGAGATGTTTCATATTAAAATAAAAAGTTCTAGCTTTTGATGAATATTAAATACAGTATCTAACAAGAGTTGTCGTTTTTATAACGAAGTTATTATACATTGTTGAGTACAATATTGATTTTTTTTCGGGTAAGTCTACAGCTGTAAATCCTATATTGGACGAGGTGCTAGCCGAGTCCAATATAAGTTTTGCAGCTGTGCACGAGGCTAGTAAGAGTTCATTATGGATTTGATATGGAGTTTTTGGACTTGGAATATTGAAACGAGACTAGATAGAGTACAATATGCCTAACGTAATTTTGAGATTTGGGAAAAAGAAAACGAGGCTAAAATAATAAGATTGGATCCAATAATTATTTATTTTGGAACATTTATTTATTGGATTAGCGATCTACATTTAAAAGTGAAGTTGAAACTTTTTGACGCTTGTTTGGAATTCCCATTGAGATTTATAATTACGAGGGTTTGAAAATTGTGAGAAATTTAATCAGAATAAATTAGGAAAAGGTCGTAAAAATCGTGAAATGTTGAATGAAAGCATGCTTAAATGGATTGGAAGCAATTTAAGCTTGGGTAAGGCAGTGTATATTTGAGAACGTCACTTGAATATCTAGTGAAGAAGGGCAAAATGAGCGTCATATAGGACCTGGTTGAGTTCTAATTACAGTGACATTTAAAATGAAAACTTCCGGGATTTTATAATCTGTAAGTTGAATTAATGGAAAAAAGTGAAAAAAAAGCCAAAAAATAAGAAGATTTAAGAAAGACAGTACCTAACAGGATAGCCTCACTCTATACTGGCTGAGAAGACCGTATTTTCATTGCTTGTACACATAGTGTTGAACTAATGTTAATCTGTTTTTGTGCATTTTTCCCCCTTTAATGTCAAACCTCACTTTGGGGACCTAGGCATGCGCTTTAAGTCACGCCCTTGGTGTCGTAACCAATATTCACACCAGTGTGGATTGTGGAAATCGAAAGAGAATCTAATCACTTGAGGGATTCGAACCAACGACCTCCTGCTTTGGTGTACGAAACCCTACCCCTAGACTACTCTTCCTGCAATTTCAAAGATAGAAATTAACTGTTTGTTAATTATTTATTGTGAATGGAAAGTCGGATATAGCCCAATGAAAACCATGATATTTTAAATTAATACATGTACTTTCAAATTAAGCATTTTTATAAAATGATTGAATAAATTGCATAAAGGTACTTTTAATTAGATCGAATCATTTATTTATTTATTTACTTATTTACGTGTTATCTATCTATCTATCTATCTATCTATCTATCTATCTATCTATCTATCTATCTATCTATCTATCTATCTATCTATCTATCTAATCTATCTATCTATCTATCTATCTATCTATCTATCTATCTATCTATCTATCTATCTATCTATCTATCTATCTATCTATCTATCTATCTATCTATCTATCTATCTATCTATCTATCTATCTATCTATCTATCTATCTATCTATCTATCTATCTATCTATCTATCTATCTATCTATCTATCTATCTATCTATCTATCTATCTATCTATCTATCTATCTATCTATCTATCTATCTATCTATCTATCTATCTATCTATCTATCTATCTATCTATCTATCTATCTATCTATCTATCTATCTATCTATCTATCTATCTATCTATCTATCTATCTATCTATCTATCTATCTATCTATCTATCTATCTATCTATTATCTATCTATCTATCTATCTATCTATCTATCTATCTATCTATCTATCTATCTATCTATCTATCTATCTATCTATCTATCTATCTATCTATCTATCTATCTATCTATCTATCTATCTATCTATCTATCTATCTATCTATCTATCTATCTATCTATCTATCTATCTATCTATCTATCTATCTATCTATCTATCTATCTATCTATCTATCTATCTATCTATCTATCTATCTATCTATCTATCTATCTATCTATCTATCTATCTATCTATCTATCTATCTATCTATCTATCTATCTATCTATCTATCTATCTATCTATCTATCTATCTATCTATCTATCTATCTATCTATCTATCTATCTATCTATCTATCTATCTATCTATCTATCTATCTATCTATCTATCTATCTATCTATCATCTATCTATCTATTCATTCATTCATTCATTCATTCATTCATTCATCCTTTAACTTATTTGATTTTTATAATTATTTGTTTGTTTGTCATGTAAGTGATAAAAGATAGCCAGCCACGTTCTTTTTATACCCTACAGCCGTTTTGTGCGGACCTCTGGGATTTGAAGATTTCATGAGACCCGACTGGATGGAAATGGTTCTTTCCTGGCCGGACAAGCGTCTAGGATGCTTCAAAACAAACCCCTACAAAGCTTTATCTTACTTACTAAATCAATCAGCGAAAGAAGACAAACTCAAAGAGGAATTATCTAAAGGCAAGAATCCTCTACATAAGCAAAAAGTCCAGCACAGACCTGAAAGGTAGGATACTTATTTTAGAATAATTTATGTAATCGTTTTGCTTATATCTTAGAATAGTTTGTGTAATTATTTAACTCATATCAAGAACGTCTTATTCTTATCCATTGTATTCAATAAGTAATTTTTTCAAATAAGTGCTCTTGAAACTAAGCATTACATGTAATTATATAACAGGCTTTGGCAGCTAAAAGTATGAATTTCAATTCAAGTTTGTTGTTGTTGTTCTTTTTTTCTTTCGCAATACCTTAGTATCATGAAACTTATGTAAATATGTGACAATGTAAAGTGAAAGATTAATCACAAGATATAAAATGAAGACTGATAAATTAAGACCATCTCTCTTCAGATCTGACGGAGGTACAATGAGAAAATTACTCAGGGAGAAAGAAATGAAAGGTTTGTCAAAAAAATATTTCCGTAATGATCTTCGATATAAATTTCAGTTGTCCGAGCTGCTTGACAAAGCACCTGCCAAACTAGAGTTGATTCAAATTCTTACGGTTAGAATAAAATACATGTACAGCAAACACCATGCACTTTTACTCGTGACTTTTTTCACATATCATAGTTTCACTTCGGTTCAATTGGTAAAAGTTTCACATGATGCCTCATATCAAATGTTATGCAGCAGCTTGGGCGTAAAAAACTTTCCGATCTTCTTTAATGAGCTAGGTTACGGAACGTCGGTGGTTGTACTCACTTGAAAAAATGCACAGAAGGGCACCCGAGGTCTTCCTTCACAAGTAAAGCGGGAAACTTAGATTATAGACGACCTTTGTCCGTTGCGTAAAAAACGATGTCCAAGGAACCTCTTCTAGACAGTATTCGCGCATTTTAGGTTAAAACCGTTTACGATTAGAAAGTATCTTATTAGAACTGATATTTTTTTATATTTTCAGACGGCTGTTTATCGCACACTTCCGGTCTAGGTTTCGGCGTTCTGTGTACATACCTCCGGTATCTAGTCAGATATACACCAATGCATATGCTATAAAAACATATCGTATATTTACATATACACAATTACATGCATATAATGTATACGTACATGTGTAAATGACAATATCAATTATGTATAGTTATAAAATGCTATATTAAAAACAATTTTATGAAAAAATACGTTGTTTTGAATTTAAAAGATCATGCCTTTTGTCATCGTTGGAAACCCACGGGTACTGATTTCGCTGAATTACATCCATCACAAATGAAGTGCAATCTCTAAATAACGCTGCGCTTTTGCTTTTTGATGTGACCGTGACCAAATACGAACTCATTCCTGATGATCTTTCACACAACCAATCATCGGTAAGCTTACATATTTCTTAAAGCGAAATGGTTTCTAAATTAACCCTGGGAAAACCAATACTGGGGAGGTAATGTTCACGACATGACGTTGTCCATAAAGCCGACAACTATCTTGCCCATTATAAATTTACTCTATTATTTCAAGTTAATGTGTTAAAAATTACTTTAATTTTTTTTTTCAAACAAATTCAACAATTTGGTTATTTTCCACGGATAACGGTATTTTGATACTTCTTATAATGCCTATGTAAAAACTGGCTTGATTGCATGGCTAAAAATATCTTTCTCGGGAAATCCGAATTAGTAAGAAGGCGAAAGATAGACGGTCTTCAGATTGAAATGAAGTGAATACGTAACGACTACGCATGGGTTACCGAGGATGGCCTTTTATAAAATAAAATTCATGCACAGTGTATAAACTAGTCTACTTCCTGTTATCGCAAGAAAAGTACAGGTACCGTGACCGGGAGGAGCAGGTGCTTGAAATTTTAACGTATATGGTTCACATTGAATTGCATAGGTTGGCATGACATGGTGCAGTGATTTTGTTTATATTCGATACAGTTCACCATACGCTGTTTGAAAGATCACATACACTGTACTTGCAAGGTTTTCCTCGTACATAAAAAAGCTAACAAAACCCCATCCCAAGAGTTTTGCTCTTTTTAGACTAATAAAAAGTAATTAATCAATCTTTCTAGTAAGTCAATAATAAGTCATTACATTTAAAGACATTATCTACTTGATCATGTGTATGAATCTGTTTCAAAATCCCATCAATCACACGGTCACCGTATTACTGGAGCCAGTGATGACAGGTTGTTGCAGTGATGACTAAGGATTACTATACAAGTAAGTTATAAATATCTCAACTTTATAATAAATGAAGGGATGTCGTGTAAGACATCCATCGCATATGCATGATATGGTCACGCAAGACAAATATCTATATTCACTGTGTCTTTTCTCAAAAATGCTACAAGCGTCCAAACAAGTCTTATCGAAAAGAAAATGCTGCCGTTGTTAGCAGAAATGTATTTGCTAGGCTGCCGATGATAGTACACGCTATAAAAGTGGCTAACATTCTGACAGAGTCAAGATATAAAACTATCATTTGTAATATTTTGTAGCGGAAATTCACATATACTTTACCGATGCCCAATTTTGAGATCAATATGGGGTTCATCCCCTTTGTAACTGCAAAAGATGCCATTAAAAGTATTATTATTATCATTATTATTATTAATACTATTATTATTATTATTATTATTATTAACAGAAGCGATCTACCGACGGTTTCATTCCAATTACTGGACTTTCATAAATTCGAAAAATGTTAAAGTAATAATATTTCATTTATTGCTAAGTGATGTTTGAGCTAGTGCTTATCGTACAATTTAAAATGTCTTTTTCCTCCCTTCCTTGTTTAACTCTGGTTTTCGAAACATGACTAATATAGCCTTCTAAAATACATTATCGTGTCCAAGCATATATTGTTACGTACATTAAATGCCTGAAAATCTTTACAGACTTATACCTTAATGAGCGCTGCATGACTTTGAATATGTAATACATGATATATCGGGCAAGATGGCCACAATACGAAGATATCGACAAAAGATCATCACGATTATCGACTCTTTTGGGAATTGGACAGTCAAGTGATGACAAAGAAGAAAATCCATTAGAATAGGTCGCTCTTTAATATTGCTATGACTTTATTATTTCGTCAAGATTAAGTATGATCAAATTTGTGTGTCTGACATGTGACAATCTTCAGACAATGGGAATGAAAAAGACATACACATATAACTATATGTACCAGATGTTGGTAAAGAAAACAAGAAAAAAACATAATCATTTAATCTGTTGGCTACTTGAGAAATTAATTTTTAATGAAATATTGTAAAATTCCATTGCATCATCCTGCAAATGAATACAAAAAAATAACAAGCTAGCACTCTATCGAGCTTTAAATTCAAATGGCTATGATAATAAAATTAATAATTCACATTAATTTCGGTAAAAACGAAGAAGCCACAGCTGGCAATAACATCTCCCTTTTAATACGAATAATTAACAATACAGAACATAGTAATAACGATAATAAACACGCTTCTTTCAAATGGATAAAAACAAAGGATCGGCTGGCACAAACACAAAGTGGTTGTAACTACAAAATATCCTCAAGTCTTTAAATGGTTTGTTTGTTTTGGGTTTTACGTCACATCGACACAGTATAGGTCATATCGTGACGTTCCAGCTTTACTGGTGAAGGAAGACCTCAGATGCCCTTCCGTGCATTATTTCAGGCACGAACGGGCACCTGAGTAGAACCACCAACGTTCCGTAAGCTAGCTGGATAGCTTCCTCACATGAAAGAATCCAAAGTCCCTGTCGGGATTCGAACCCACAGCGGTGAGGGGCAAGTAATTTGATGTCAACGACCTTTGAATGGTGATCAGTGAATAAAATTCACTGTGTGAGTAATGTTAAATGAGTTATAGTTATGTGTCCATGATCAGGCGCGCGATTCGGAATCTACAGGTCTATGGTTCGAGTTCTGCCAAAGACAATTAATTATTCCCTGAAATTTTCTACAATGCTTTACTACAACCAGATGTAAATGTGTATCTATGAAAAAAGTATAATTCCGTGTGTGCTGCAGTTAGCGAAGTTAAAGACTTACCAGAGCTATCAATTGATATATAAAATCGAGTTGCTTATTAAATTCAGCAGCTTGTAAGGTGTGACTTACTTCAATCATAAGATGAAAAATGCACTCTGTACCATCCATGCTGTTGAGAGCAAGGAATGATGAACTTTCTTCCACCATTATGGAGTGACTACGACTATAACACTATACATATGAATGACACACGCGTCACTATGTAACACTCGAATGGATATCATTTGGTTAGGGACTAAGTCACTTGGACATATGGCAACTTTCATCTCTTTACTGGATATCCAAAGACCGAACATGTCACTTTATTGCATTATTCAAGTCACGTGCTGGCACATTACAGTATTTGGAAGAACCGACCTTTTGTAACATGCTTGGTAACTTTTTAGCATGAAAAAATCAGTCACTGGCAGGATTCGAACCTATAACAGTAGTAAGGACATGCTTACAAGTTACCAACCAAAATCACTCAGCTTATGTGCCATAAGTGGATATAATAAATTAAAAAACACACAAAAATGCACAATAAATATTTACTTCATAATTAAAGTCTTGTTACAACATATTACACACTTCATTACAAATATTTTTTTACATTCATAGACAACCATACATTGCACAAAGTTCATTGTACAAAGTTCATATATTATTCTTCTATAGTATCATACGCAAACCTTTACAAAGCTTTCAACATTAATTACACACATTCAAATAATTCCAATTACGTCACAAGACTACATCTATAATAACTACATGTATAAAAAATGGGGGGAAATTTTTCATCCCGTTTCTTTTTTTAAATGTGCCCAAAATTTGGGGGGTTTTTTTTCCGGCCTTAATTTAAAAATAAAGAAAAAATTTTGAACTTTAAAAAAAAGTCTAAGCAAAAAAAAAACATATTAAGACGGCTAAAATCCTTACTTCTATTTGGATAATTTTAAAAAGGAAAAAAAAACCCAATGAAAAAAAGCTATATCGAGCTGTTCTTTTCTTATAATCTCTTTCCCCTTTTTCCCCCATGAGCAAGTAAAAAAGGGTTTTCCCACGAAAAAGTTTTTCCTTTCCCCAAGCAAACCCCAAACATAAAAAAATGCTAAAATAAAAAACGGCACAAATGTTGACTGGACCATTGCCCTTGTAACGACATGCTCAGTCTTAAATTTCCTGTTACCATGGCAACGAGGGGGCATCTCAAAATTGCCAAAAATCACTATTTTGTCTCGATTTTTTCCATCAAAATTTATTTCAAAGTGCTGCAACTTCTCAAGGGATTGAGATAGAGTCAAAGGCTTTTCAGCGTTGGTTAAACGTTACATTATAATCGACCTGGGGTCATTTTTAGCCTCTCACAAGTCCAAAATTTTCTTGGCGATGAGGGGGACTCCGCCCCCCTTCAAACCCCCCTAACAGAAGGGGGCACATCCCCCTTCTGGCAACCCCCTGATGTATCTTTTGGATGGGGGCGGCGCCGAAAAAGTGCTCATTTTTTTTAGCAACATTTCTCAAACGAAAACTTATGTTTGGGGCCCAAATAGGACATTTTTTTCCTATTTGAGGCCCAAAAAAGGGGGGGTCGAAAGTGCGTTGTTTCGCGTATATATGTGGTAAAGGGTTAAATTAAACTACAGAACAATGACATTCTTAAGACTGATACTCCGTAGTAATGAACATGGTCTCAAGTTCTATCAATAGAGTTAATATATAAATAAAGGCTAACCCTTATCCCACTAAAACCCATAAATAGATTTGTCCATCTTTCTAGTTGGACAAAACCCATTCATAATCATTAGGGAAAGTTTCAAAATATGTACTGACTGAAAACCGGCACACTGGTCATATGGGTAGATTCAGTTGCCACATACAAGCTAAGGTTAAAACTATCAAGAATGCAGTGTTAATTATGTCAATTAAAATTTCAGTCACAGTTGACCAATAAAAACATGGCCATAGACTTACATTATAGCTCTGTGACATGGCTTATCATAAAACGAAGCACAACAATTCAACTTCAAAAAGGCACAAAACTGTAAACACATTCATTCTTAATAAAAGCTGGGACATAATTATGACCAAGATGAAAGAAATACCTTTGTAAAAATCAAATTAATACACATAATGTATTACCATCTATACATATACTTGCTTATGTTACGTTTTTCTGTGCAAAGATTTTATCTTTAATCAGGAAAAACTTTAAAATTGCACTTTCCAATTACATGTACATATAAATGCAAAAAAAATTAAACACCAGCTTGTCAACATTTAAAATGTTTTCTGAGTCATCAACATTGTTTTCTTAAACCACAAAAGAAACAAATCTTTTTTTTTTCAAATCTACAATGTACCTGGATTTTTCTAATCCATTCTAATTTTTTTAAATTGGGCATTCTAATTTTTTTGGGCAATGTGTAAAAAAAGCTATGTGAACCTCCTTCAAAACATATTAAATTGTGTCCATCTTTATGTGCAAAAATTAAAACTTTCTAGGAAATAACAATAATATCAATTAAAACTCCCAAGCTGACACTTAATATTTAATTTTGTATTTATACTATTAAAGATTCTAATACATAAAGGGCATTAAGAAAGTTTGTCTCTTTTAAATAAGCTAAAACAATTTTTGATATTTTATCCCTTAAACTATGGATTTGACCTGCTTGGAATTTCAAATTGAAAAGGTCAATACAAAGTAAAACACAGTACAGAGCCTGGCCAGACTGCATGGATCTTCAGGCTGGCCTGGCTCTATACTGGTGGCAAAGGCTAGTAAATTTTGTTTCCAGGTTACAGGGATACAAATATGCTACCTTATGATATCAAATATTATATATCACAGAATAAAGACAGAGAGGTGATATCATGATATATGAACTTGTGTTTTTTTTTCTTCTTTTCTATTTATTTTTTGTTGGATTTTTAGTCAGAGAAACACTGTCAAGGTCATACAAACCTTTTTCAGCATTACTGGTGGAGGAAGATCAAAGGTGCCCCTTTACATATTACTTTAGTTTATACTATTTAAATGAATTTTAGACTGTGTTGGAAGCTATAAGCTTATTGAAACACTCTCGAATCCATTCCTGGAAACAAACCAGTACTAAGCAATAAATGTAGTTTCTTGCTCACAGAAACAACAGCTTGCCCCTGACGGGGTTTGAACCAATAGGGTCAGCAATCCTTAGGTTGCTAGTCTGACGCTTTAACCACTCACCCACGCTTTGAGCACTCAACTACGCCACCACTTTGTTCAGGCATGAACTAAATAAAATAAGTTAGTCTGAATACAATCAAAAAGTAAACTCATTTGTTTTGAGTGAATACAAGTATATGAAATATATTTCACTGAAATTCTCCTTTTCAGATATTTTCAAGGGCAATCAGCTCATAATTGATTAAAACTCTTGTTTAAGAAAAAAAACATTTTTCTTAATATTATGCAACACATTCTGTAGACAGAACTGGCAAACAAATGTTTCTGTATAATGCAAGCACAATAATGAAAGAGCTAAGTAGAATGTGAAATAGATGATATAAATTATATCTCATTAACACAAATGAAAGATATAACTTGTATCTTTCAACACAGGCAAGTAATATAAATTTAACTCTCACTAGCACCAGTGAGTGATATAAATTATATCCCATCAACACAAGTGAGAGATAAAGCTCGTCTCTTTAAACACAAGCGAGTGATATAAATAAAATCTCACTAACATCAGTGAGTGATATAAACTTTATCTCACTAACACAAAATGTGTGATTTCAAAAAATTGTTATTAGTTTTATCCCTTATTTTCAACATGATTTAAATCCCATGTAAAACAATTATTACAAATTATTACAAAAAATATTAACATCATTCAAATGTCTAGGATTGACAAGAATCATCTAATCATAAATCACAACATAATTTCATCTTAGAACTATGCATGGTGTGACTTTGTATCACATAGTTATCTTTTTCCACAATTTCAAATTATCTCCCATTACAGACATTATCTTATGACTATTAAACTTCAGTATTTTAATTAACAATTGAAGCATCTTCTAATTATTGAAAACATCATCATGACAAAATCACAAATATGTGAACCTTTGATGTTCAAATTTTACCCTTAACCCCACTAAATTTGTAAAATGAACTTGTCCCGTCAATCAATCTGAAACAGTCCATTGTCAATGAGAGGGTTTTTTTAAATATAAAAATGCCAAAGATTTTCAGGCTAGTCTAATTCTGTGATTTAGACACATGCTAGTCAGTCAATAATGCCACTGGCTTTATAACAGGATATATATCATGAAATGGCAGTGAAATGAATACTTATAATACAGACAATGGTAAACTTGAATGACTAATGGACTGATTCTCAACTCGCTGGCTTGTTTTCTGGTTTTAATTTCTTCGCTGGGGAACCAGTCTCGGATGAATCTGAAATCATAGTTATTACAATTATTATATAAATTGTACCAGTAAGTTTTCAGCATAAACTAAAAGCCTATAACTGCTTTTGGACCCCTGGGGTCAAGGTCACTGTTACTAGAAAAATGGTTTCTGGACAATAACCAAGAGTTACGAATCAATCTTGGTATATAGCAGGCTTATATGAAGATTTCCAGTTGACATGCTTTCATACCAAATACTATATCATTTATAACTTAACTAACAGACGAAAAGAGATAATTTCAGGCACAGATAATTTCAGGCACATGGCCAACAAGTAATTTTTTTGGAAACTACAACATAAATGAAAAATACAATATAACAAACTTTTGAGAAACAAAAATAAAAGCATTTCTGGGGCATAATGGGCCTTTAAACTAAAGGTGGTAGCATTGACTTACCATTTGATTCATCTCCATTTATATCATTCCTGACCAACTTCAATGCTGAAATAAAATTCATTACAACATCACAAGTCTGACTTTCTACTCTCAATCATATATGTTCAAAACTAATTCAGTCAATCATCCAGTTTATACATTATCATTATTTTCAGACATGTTGTTTATTTTTAAGCACGTTTTTAATTTCCTACAATTTGTTACTAGTCTCTTAAGATATATCATCATTTATATCGAATAACACTGGAATGTGAAAGAAGCTCAGGAATTGCGCATTAGTAACGCAGATTTGTTTTATTCTATGGCTGTGATGAGCACCTTGATAAGTAAATGAATTGATTTACTTTAAAAATAATTTGGACCATTAACTTACTGTATTACTTAATTTGGCTGTAGCTTTGTGCAGATTCAGTGTTACTTTTGCACAATTCAGGCATCATTTTCAAATTCCTGTGTTATTGGATCAGTGATTTTTTTTCCTGCATTTTACAGCCGAATAAAGGCTGTTTCCCCTAGCCCTAAATAGGTATATTTTCCCCTAAAAATGCTATTATTTTTCCCCTAAAATGCCCTTTGCACATTTTTCACTAGAGCCATGACTTAACAGCAGCTGACTTATATCAGCTTAAGACAGAACTAGTGAACTACAGATAGCCCCAGCATGTATCATGGATGTTAAATTGAATTGAAATTGAATATTCTAAAACATGTGTGAGTAAACCATTCTCAGTTGTTAGAATTTGATCTTCCCCTTTTCTGATTTATCGCGCTATATTTTCCCCTTCAGAAAGCCACGGGTTGTTTTGAAAATTGAAAAAAAAATCACTGTGGATACATACATGTATAGATGTTAATGTATATATGCATAGAATGACTATATCAGTTTATAAGTTGGCTAATAATTTTACCAACATTCCAATCAATCATTATTAGACTCCTCCATATTTATCTTTATCAAACTCCTCCCCTTCTATCTTAATTAGACTCCTCCCCTTCTATCTTTATCAGACTCCTCACAAGCTATCTTTATTAGAGTCCTCCATATATAAGCTATATTCAGAACATATATATATATATATTTATTAGAGTCCTCCATATTTATCTGTATTAGACTCCTCCCAAGCTATCTTTATTAGACTCCTCGCCTTCTCTCTTTATTAGACTCCTCCTAAGCTATCTTTATTAGACTCCTCCCCTTCTATCTTAATTAGACTCCTCCCAAGCTATCTTTATTAGACTCCTGCCAAGCTATCATTATTAGACTCCTCCCCTTCTATCTTTATTAGACTCCCCCAAACTATGTTATATAAAACTCCTCCCCATCTCTCTACTTATCTGTATTAAACTCCTTATCAATCTTTATTAGAATCCATCTTTGCAATACTCCTTCTCTATTACTAAGTACCCTTCCCAAGACTCCTCTTCACTTTTTAGTAAACTCCTCCCTAATTTTCCCCTAACTCCTCCCCCATTATTATTTACCACTGCAAAAAAAGTATTTATTGGTTGAATAAATTACCTGCACTCATGCTTGTATCATTGCTATCTTCATTGCCGTTCTTCATATCTCCAACAAACGAGAAGTTTGAATCCTCATTGATGTTTCCTGACCCGCTGTCCGAGCCCTGTGACTGGCGGGTCGTCTCATCTATATATACACTACCTAAAAATACATTAAGTATCTAATTAACGCAAGCCAGGGTGCATTGTGTTCCTAAATTAAGTTGATACCTTTATCATGTTTTAGGGTAAGCAATTGCAAGTTTGAAGTTTACAAAACCAAGTCACCTATTCAGCGTTTATAGTTCTGACCTAATTGGCTGACTGGCTATCCAATTGCTACACTAGGATATCACATAAGTTATTGGCACAGAACACATGGTTTTGTAACAGAATGTGTTACTTCTTTTTATAATTCTAGATGGAGAAGTAGCTAGCTAGATCATCATACTCATTTACACTTGCGTACCACCTACTGTCCCCTTCCACACAAAACAAATTTAAGTAAGAATGTTTCACAATTTGAGACAAATGCTCAACTTCTACCCTGCTCAATGTAAACTGATTTCCATAGCACATTCCAATTCTATATACATGTATAAAAAACACTTTAATTCTATTTATAGAATTCAATGTACTATTTTTAGCATATGCTATTTTTAGCACATACCTTGATTACTATCTTCTCCATTGGACTGAGACAATTCTTTATCAGCCGCTGATGCTCTTCCAACACGATTCTTGGATGTATGAGCCACACGCTTTCCAAACACCTTCTGTGTACTGGGTTGGGAACTCGACACTAAGATTTGAATAAAATCAAATTAATTTATCATTCAGTAAATTTTACTTAAAGGGTAACAAGTTGATTTTTGGTGTATGCAGAATATTTGTTTTTGTCTCATGAAAATTGTTCAAAAATCGAAAGAATGTTTTTTGTTTTTTTGAGGTTGGGATTTCACAATAAGGTCATGTGGCGACTTTCCAGCTTTATTGGGGGAGGAAGACACAGACACCTGAGTAGAGCCACTGACGTTCGGTAAGCTAGATGGATAGCTTCCTCAATCCAAAGTCACTGTCGGGATTTAAACCCACGTTGATGAGGGGCTTGTGGTTAGAAGACAACAACCTTAACCACTCAGTCATGGACGCCCCTTGAAAGAATGTTAATGATAAATTTAAATTAAGCTGTTGCTAATAAATCTGACTAAGTACTACAACATGAATAAGAATGTTGGTGAAGACTTGCAGTGTCAATCTCATTTTGCCTGCCCATATTTTGTAACATGCCGATTTAATAGCACATTTTATTATCTTTATCAAAATATGATGAAAACAAATTTATCTATTTATTATTTCAAAAACTCATTTCAAAACTTACCTGGGACCCATTTGAACACTTTCATAGAAGTATCTCCAATAGTTACCCATCTTTTCTCCCTATAAAACAATATAAAGAGGATATAGACAACATTAAAGGGAAACAACCTCAATTTCTAACTGAATACATTACATACACATTTACCTCCCTTATGCAAAAACAAACACACATTAAAATTTAAGACCATATACTAAACATTACTAGTAAATGAATTATGTTCTAAGAATGAATCAATAATCTTTAATGTGCTTTACTTTTGTTATGCAGTTGCCTTGCATTGAATTTGAAACAAATGTTTGTTTAAAGAATAAGTGTATTTCTATATAGAACAATAATTAATTCCTGTACAAAGAAACTTCGCCACCACTTGTATAAATTAGCCTTGGTGGTAGCTGGCTGGGCACTATATGGAAAACAAAGGCATAATCAAATTTTACCTTTCCAGTAGGTTTAAGGTAAAAGTATTTAACATAATTGTTTAACATATTATTATTAATGTGTATTTCTATATAGAACAATAATTAATTCCTGTACAAAGAAACTTCGCCACCAAGGTATTTATATCAAATTTTGATATTTGCATCATTCATGTACCTGCACTATGAAAATGTTTATCCAAAGATAAACAGTAACTCATCACTTAAAATTTAAACAAGCCTCAAAATATAAGTGTAAGTAATGTTACTATTTTTAACATAAATTAGAGTAGTTATCTACATCAAAATTAGTCATGCATTTATATCATTCATGTACATGCAGTATGAAAATGTTTATTTCAAGATAAACAGTAACTCATCACTTTAAATTATCAAGCCTCAAAATATAAGTTACTGTAAAAAGAATTCTATTCATTTCAAAGCAAATTTATAATGCATTTAGATAGTCAATTAAAATAACTGCAGTGTTTTAAAAGTACAAGAGTCTTACAAGGATTCCAGTTAGGAATTTTTGACACAAAGGGACTGGGAAAAAATGTTTTTACATGTCACATATATTTCATTTAAAGTAGGTCTGAACAATAACTTGTGCTTTAAAAAGTCAGAAACATTTGCTTATTCAAATTTTCCAGAATAATTGTTCTTATCAAGCAAAATATGCTGAATTGCCGAAAGAATATTGCACAAACAATAAATTTTCTATTTTATTCTGAGAATATTTTTGAATTAATGTAACCAGTTGGTCTATGAAAGAATAACAAATTTGTGGTAAATTTGATGATACAAAAAGATTTGAATAGGTTTGAAAATAAAACTTGAAGATAATGCATTCAGTGCAGGCAGTGTTTCAAAATGACATCCTTTTTTGTTATGAAAGATCACAAATAAAATTAATGAAAGGCTGTTTTCAAAGTGCCCCCTCACTTTCGTTTCAATCTGCTATGTACAGTTTGTAATGTTTGGGTTTTTTTAACTGAAGTAACCCAAAATAATGAAAATTCATTGATACAAAAATTTTAATAAGATTTAACCTGTACTGGGCAGGAACCAGTTTCCGGACAGAATTCGAGTTTTTTTGATTGTCTATTTTTTAATAATAAACATGCATTAATAAAACCAATATACCAAAAACCTGAGCTCTTTCTACATCCGATAACACAATTAACGCTGCCTGGTGACGTAAGCAATGTACAAACTGAAGGGTTAAATTAGGTCATTAAAAGTGTAAATTGTTCACTCTTGCAGAACCAGTTTCCGGACATATATTAAGCTGCTATTCATATCTGTTTTTAACTGATAATTATTCTAATATAACAAAAAAATTCTTCTCACATATTAGCTTTCTTATATAATTAAAGCCGATTTACTGAAAAATGTTTACGATAGGAAAAATAATGATCACGTGATTGGTCTCGGAATGACTGAAAAGTGGAACGGATATTTGTGTGTGTACGGCAGCAAAGATTAGTGCGATGTGGAGTAAACCTAGCTAAACACCGTTTTCCGATACATTACAGATTTGGCTCTGGGGAATTACACCCAATGAACTTCAAATGAAGTACATTGTGCATTAATTGCTACCCCAAATAATATCCCGAAATAAACAAAATATTGCGCATGCGCAGAAAATAATACATGCCCCAAAGGGGTATTAGGCTGTTTTTAAAACACAGGTAAGATATCCTACGAAATTTTAATGATTTTTCAACTTGGAAGGAAGTTTATTTTCACAAACAATCAAACCAAGCATCTTCATGACATGTAAATACCGATCGTCATCGATAAACCCAAAATTAAGCCGTTATAATACTTGTCCGGAAACTGGTATTGTCCGGAAACTGGTTCTTACCCAGTATATCAATTTATAATTCAGACAATTCTGTAAATGATAGTAGTTTTGTGTTTGATCCCAAAAAGTGTGAATTTAAAATAAAAATAAAAAATATATCAGATACAAACATAGAGGAATATTTTTTATGGCGTATTTTAAAATTTCAACAAGTTCTGACTAATTTTCGAAACTGTATTAGAAAAATTAAACTTAATAACACTGATAGAAAAACATAGAGAAAACATAGAAAAACATAAACAAAAACATAAACATACATTTAAAAAACATGAAAATACATTCTGTTATGTCTGTAAAAAATCTGATTATGAGAGAGAAATTTATTAAACAATATCCTACACTCCAAACAAAAAAATCTCCATCAACAAGTAAAATAAAATATATTCTACAGCAAAATAAGTCTAACTTTGTTTTCTATGGAAGAATATTTTCTAAAGTTAAATTTGGAAAAGCAGCATTTCAATCAAAAGATAGGAAAATACCTTTAACTTGTACTATTTTAACAAAAGATAGGAAAGTACCTTTAACAGTTATTAAATATTAAGTACTGACAATATGTAAACAGTGTTTATTTTTCACAGAGTGTTTCAGCTATCTCATTAAAGAGTTTACTTGATTTAACAATTAATGTCAAACAGTTTAAAACCCACTACATCCATTCATAATATAAACCCTTACTCTAAACTACACGCCGTCCTTTGTTAGCTACATAAATCCTATAACATACAATGTACACAGAAAACTACACTGAACAGATTTGATACATTTACCTATTTAACGCCAACACCTGTAGCAGAATGTAAACAAACCCACGTGGTCAACTTTGACAGGTGTCAATCGGATGAAACAATTACCGATTTCACTCGGGATGCGGCTTTGTAACTGAAAACAAGCAATGGGCTATTCCAGAAAATATCCGCACCCCCCCTATGGAAGAGGTCTGAGATGAAAATACCCCCCCCTAGGACAAACACTCAAAGGTACCCCCTTGGACAACATAATGTAAACAGTTTTACTCAAAATGACCCCCTTGGACGACCTTTAATGTAAAAGATTTTTGCCAGACAACCTATGGAAGAGACTTTTGATCGAAATGCCACCCTTGGACAACCTATGGAAGAGACTTTTGCTCAAAATAATCCCCCTTGGACAAAAATGTTCAATATCCCCCATTGACCAACTACTGAAATTGACCCCCTAGGACATCTTCCATAGGTATATAATATAGGCCCCCTGGACAACCTATGGAAGAGACTTCTGCTCAAAATGACCCCCATGACAAAAAAAAACTACTGAAATTAACCCCCTAGGACATCTTCCATAGGTATATAACACTATTAGAGACCCCCTGGACAACCTATGGAAGAGACGTCTGCTCAAAATAAGCCCCCTTGGACAAAAACATTCAATATCCACCCTCGGACAAGCTACTGAAATTGACCCCCAGGGCATCTTCCATAGGTATAATACTAATAAAAATAGACTCCCTATAGTAGAGACTTTGATCAAAATGACCTCCCTTGGACAAAAAGTTTTAATATCCCCCAAGCCCCTTGGACAAACTACCAAATTAAACCCCTACGACATCTGTCATATGTCAACGCTTTAGGATCTGATTATCAGCAATAGGTTGTCACCTTCTCGTATCCTTTTAAACAGGCAATCAGCGGCGAGCTTTCAGAATCTTTAAAGCAATGTAATTTCTTTTTTTATCTGCTGGAAAATCAATTTTGAGCGATTTGGAAAACAAACATCAAACATGGCGATGTGCATATAGCCTGCAGACCCTGTAAACTGCCAAAACAATATTGACCATTAAAAATTGAGTCTATTATTTCCAGTTTACTGTTTCATATTACTTCAAACATTCTTTTTCTAACAAAAATACATGGATTGCATTGCTAATAATAGCTAATAATAGCTAAATTCTTGGGAAATCCATTTCACAATGACTGCAAAACAAATACAGTGGAAATCAGATCTACATGTAAAAAGAAAGTAGATCTGAGCTTTAGTAAGATTGTTCATAGGTATAATGCTAATAAAGACCCCTTGGACAACCTATTAAATGAAATAGCCTCCCTTGGACAAAATAACTTTTGATGCCCCCCTAGGACAAACTATGACATATCTTGTATATTCATAAAACACTTTTTAACACAATGAACAACTTATGCAAAACATCATGTCTGTTCATAATCATTACTTCCATAGACACAGTTTGGGAGTAACTTACTCTAAAAAAAGACCCATACAATTCAGTCTAGCCAAATTCAGATCATACCCCTTATTACATGACGATAAGGAAGGAAAATTATAGTGATATTATGCCCATTTATTTGAGTTCACAGGCAAAAGTCAAGAAAACTTTACATTTTGCCATAATTGTTTTTAATTATGTACGTTACTTCCCAAATTATCCAGATATAACTAATCCACATGACCGTCCTCCTGGGCTCCTTGCTGCTAGTTCTTGTTGCTGGGTCATGTGGAGGTTGCGTTCATTGAACGCCGCCTTTCCTTGTTGATCTTGTCTATCATATTTCATTAAAAACTCTATAGAAATCCTTTAGAATGTATAATTTTGTAATTCTTGATTGATAAAAATATTGGGACAGTGTTTTTTAATTCAAAGGTAGCTTAAAATTATATTTTAACTGACCATTCCAAAAATAGTAGGACTATCCTACTCACCCGGATGTCAGAATTGGTGTAACAATTTGGTTACAGTTTTACGTGCAATATCATATGCCATGAACAACTTACGATATTTGCTTGTACTTCACACACTCATTTAAGAATAAGAGCATATTATAAGGTCACTTTCAAGGCCCGTAACTCTAGCGTGGAATTTAACAGAATTATAGCCCTTTTTGAACTTAAAAAATCCTTCGTATAAGTTTTGCTTGCAACTTCAATCTTCAAAACTACTAAAGGTATTCACTTGAAACTTAATTCATCTCTTAAGGTCATTTTCCAAGGCCCATAACTCTAGCATGGATTTTGACTGAATTATGGTCCTTTTTGAACATTTATTTAAGTGTTTCTTACAACATTATTCTTCAAAACAACTAAAGATATTAACTTTAAACTTCATACATGCTTGCAGGATCATAAATAATGGTCACTATCCAAGGCCCGTAACTCTAGCATGGATTTTGACTAAATTATGGTCCTTTTTGAACGTTTATAAGTGTTGCTTACAACATTATTCTTCAAAACAACTAAAGTATTCACTTTAAACTTCATACAAGTCTTTGGGATCATAAATATAGGTCACTATCCAAGGCCTATAACTCTAGCATGGATTTTGACTAAATTATGGTTCTTTTTGAACGTTTATAAGTGTTGCTCAAAACAACTAAAGGTATTCACTGTAAACTTCATACAAGTTTGCGGGATCATAAATAAAAGTCACTATCCAAGGCCCGTAACTCTTGCCTGGATTTTGACTCAATTATGGTCCTTTTTGAACGTTTATAAGTGTTGCTTACATCACTATTCTAAAATAATTGAAAGCTAGAGATCTGAGATTTTGACACAGTACAGCTAGGTTTTTCTAATTAACAAACAACATTGTTAATTTTTGATTATAATATATTTTTTATATTGACACTTATATCTGAGGCTCATCTAGGAGGGTATCAAAACTACCAAAATTGTCCACACTACAGCACCATGTGTCCGGACAGAAACGCAATGGCACTAATTTATAGGGATGGCAACAAATACCAAAATCAATATTCGATTACTCGGTCATTTTTCCGATCTAGTACTCATTTACTCGGATGATTGCCAGTGATCTTCAAAGTTTATCACACAATATCAATACCGTCCGCATGCTACTTTCGTTTTCTATTTAAATTCTTAGAATTCTGTAGATAGTAAACAGGACTGCACGGGAGACAATTAATTATAATTACCGTAAATCAATAACATAATATTTTAAAACGTTTTAATCGGCGGCAACAAAAGTTTTTAACCTGGTCTAAATACTAGTTACCTTTATCTTACATTCATGGTAGCAGTTGGCCCTTTGTTGTTTTCAAAACAGTTACTTCGGCTACACAATTACAGGTAATTAAATATCATTTAAGAGGCTGGATGACATAAGCGACACAGGTGTGCGTGTCACCTCGTTAAATTATGATATCATTTTCGCACCTCTGCAAGGATGTTTTGATTGCATTTAACGGGTATTTATGAAGATACATGCACATCCCCGAATTTCTGAACTTAAATTGGATACACCAATCTTTCTAAATCGCAAAAAAAAGAAAATAAATATTTTTCCAAGTAATCAAATATAGATTTTAATAACCGATATTCGGACGTTCGATCGAGTACTCGGTTAACCGGTTACTCGTTGCCATCCCTACTAATTTAATTCAGATAAAAGCTTGGGTGTTTTGATTTTTGTTTTTAACATGATATACAATATTTCAGCAACAAATGGTGAAGTTTTGAATATTCTATTGTTTACTCTGCAAATGATTATACATGTAGCTGGTATATAAGACCAGGCATTGCTTTCTTGACCCCCAAATTTCAACATCAACATTCTTGAAATATAAGACATTAAATACATGTATTACCGCAGAGCTACAGATAAGCTTTTGAGTTAATTGGGTATTTACCCCTGTGCTTGGCACACAATTGGGTAACACAGAAACAAATTGGGTATCATTGAAAAATTTATTTAATTGTGTAGATTAACCATAACCAGATAATGATGTATGCTTGTTTTAGCTAAAAAGAATTTCTCACAACATCCTTTAAGGCTCTGGCTTGGTAAGATAACTAAAATGTTTTGCAAGACTGCACTGAATTTTTTTTTTTCGTCCATGTTTTGCCATTTTGTTTAAAGCGGTGTAACTGTGCAGAAAGAAAATTGACCTCAGTCTGGCCCACAATGTAATTATCTCTTCAAAGTATAAGCTTTTCCGTAAAAAAAACCAGTTTACTCAGCAGCTCCCGAGGGAAAGGACATGAGTGATGACTTCTCAATTTAGAAAAAAATGAGGGATTATTTTCACATGACAGGTTTAAAAAGGTTTAAATAAGATTGTTTCAATATTGATTATTGTATATTAACTTGATATTGAATCAAAAGTTTCATGAAAACTTTAATCATATGCCTTTTACATTTTTTACAGTAACTATAATTTGAGGGCTCAGTGCAAGATTTATTTTTTCAGAAAATGTTTTATTTACATTTTCTTCAATAAATTCTTTCAATGCATATTTGTTCAAAGGTATCATTAATTTCCCACTTATTTCTAAGTCTTCAACATTTTAATAAACCATTATATCTACTGAAGTGCACAACCATTCTATGTTAATATAAAGAAGTTATTGCTATTTGAACCTAATTCTGACTGATATATAACAAATTTTGATGATATTATCACAAATATTTTATAAATTCCCAGAATATTTATGACACTTTATCTATGATCAAAATTTTGCAGAATTTTCAAGTTATGAACTTAAAAGATATACTAATGCTCAAATTTGATATTAGAAAATATTGATAATTGCTACACAGTCTCTATGTAAATATAAAATAAACATGTTTGACTTCACACAAAGTAGATATGTTATGTAAAAAATGGTACACACAATATAAATATATAGTGTCATTAATAAAAAACAACAGTCTTTTTAAGAAAAGTTTTAAGAAGAGACCAACATTATGTGTTCTGTAATGGGGAATGCAGCTTCCCACACAAACTGTATTCATTCTTTTATTCATACTTCTACTAGTAGACATATTCAGTAACAATGTCATATAATTTAATAATTTTTTGTGATTAAAATACTTAACTCAAGGATTGGCATAGTATATTATATTTAAAACATCTGATGATTTTTTTGTTCCTTTTAAAACAAAGAAA